TTATTGTAGCAAAGGGATTTTCAACCTCCTGTTTAATGGAAGGTGATGTTGCTACTAGCAACTGATAGGTATTGTGTTAAATATATATTATATATAATTGAAAATAGGTTTAAAATGCAAATCTACTTTTAAACTTTTTCATCAGGCATAACTAGTATTCTAGATTTTTAAAAAATGCCTTGTTTCCTTTGTACTTTCAAAAGTAGTGTAATGTCACACAAAATAGACAATTCCCTAACATTGACCATCAACATGAGTTTTTTTTACTATCCTTTGCTTTGTTAGTATGCCATATGGAAATGAGTCATTAATTGAATTTGTTTTTTTCGCCAAATAATAACCAAGACACAAAACCCCCCTTTAAGATTGTCTACCTTTGCTAATTTCTTTAAGGTCATGTTCTCCAATACTCTACCTTTGCCGCCACCACCCTCTTCTTTTTCTCATAGATCCAGAGAGCATGAACTTAATGATTCCAATCCAAGTCTTGCTCCAATCTAGAGTTTGAACTCTAACTTCATAATTATTATGCAACCAATTAACACCATTGAAGGAACTTTGAGAAAGTATGCATCTTTAACTAAAGTGGATTATGCAGAGGATAATGGGAAGTGGGTCTAGAGGGGTAAGGTAAAGTTGAAAGAGAACAGTGTTGTGCATAGATTGTAAATGAAGTTGTTAGGGCATGAGAATCTAAGATTGTGGGATTTCTGTTGTTATGATCTACTGTCCGTTTATGAAGCCACCAAGTAGCTCTGCTATGTTCTTCTAGCCTTCACAACCTTCCTTATTCGCCTGCTCACTCTAATCTCGAGTTCCTTCAATTGTATCATTCCAATCTTGAGATTCAAATCTTCATATCGGCAGCACAATTTGGAAGTTGATGACCAAGATTATCTCTTAGGGTAGGGATTTTCTTTTAACCTCTTATTTTGATTTCAATATTTTTATTACAAGGATAGGCTTGTGTACATAATCTTACAAGATGAAGATGATTATATAAAAATTAATTTTAATAATTATAATTTAAAAATTGATTTGCGTTGGGATTTTGATGATGATGATGATGGGTATGAGCCAAAATGGAGATGAAATTGTGAATCTAATGATCTAGACATTTTCTCGACAGGTATGAAGAGATTGTATTTGTAGATATGGAATTTTTGTTCTTGGTTTGATTTTTGTGTTCTTGACTTACTAATTTGTTTGGTATTACTTACTCTTTGCTCCTTGTTCTCTCTCACTTATGGTTGTAGGTTGGGTTGAGAGAAGGAGGAAGAAGAAAAGATGGGGAAGAATAATCATCAAACAAGCCTACTTTTTCATGTTCTTTTTTTAATTTTTAAACATGCCATAGGGCTACTAGCTCCACTTAGAGTTTAATGGAAGGGAAAAAAGTGGAATGAATGACACATGAACATACACATAAATTCAATGAAGTCAACTAATAGTCAAACGTTTGAATCTATTAGAATTGAGAAATATTGCACTATTTTTTAAAGTTGAGAGAGGACAATGAACCTTTTAAAATTTTAGTATAGCAATTACACCTCCTAAGAAAGTTTAGGGATGGATTTGCACATTAATCCTTGAAAATAACCACATTAAAACTATCCAAAAAATTCTACAAAAAAAACTATTCAAGAAAAATAAGTAATTAAATATATTGGCTCTTATATACAAGGATACTTATAAGGTTTATTAACTTTCTTTAACTCATATTGACATCATTTAACTTGCAACCAATCATTAATGACGTTTTCGACTCCCATCCACCTTAATCATGCAGAATTTTTGAATAATAATGGTTTTCGACTACCAAAAATGAGTAAAGCCATAAATGTTATGATTAAATAACTCAAGCAACTTATTGATTTTATTTAAGTTAATGAGTTCAGACTCATAACTTTTATAAATTCAAAATCATCTTTTATAATAAATTTTAACTTTCACATTCAAGAAAATGGAAGAGTAAAGAAGTAGAGGGCTTAGAAAACTCACCTTTAATATTTACAAGCTTTAAATTGCTTTTAATACTTCAAACTTGTAATGCCTTAGCAAAGCTCTTTGTTTCTTTTCTGTTTTTCGAGTATGATACAATTCTTATTTCTGCAGATTCTCATCCATGCATCGCAGCACGTGGTATAGAGAAGCCTGGATGAATCGCACACTGCAATATCTCGTGTATGCATTATGGTATATGGCATAGAGTCATTTCTTTTTATTTTCTCCTATTTTATGGTCCAAGTGGCCCAATTTCGTTCCAAACTCAATCTTAATGCTAAAATCAACCCTAAACCATCCATTAGCTCTCTATAATCACACACTGCATTAATTTACTTAATTAACCTCATTTAACTCAGTTAATTAATATCTAATTTTCTAAGATGCTATAGTATATCAATTTTATCAGTAGATAATAGTTGCAATTGAAAAAGATGTGACTTATATTTTATCTTTTGGATAAAAAATATAGTATATCAATTTTATTAGTAGATAATTCATAAATAATTTTGTGAATATTCTTTAAACCATGAAGTTTTCTCTTGTTTTGATTGGTCGTAAATTTAATACGTTTTTAGCTATAAATCATTCAATCGTTTTCTTTTGAATGGTACAAAATACAACATTTTAACGAATATTTAACAACCTTTTTATATAAATTAATAGCATTTTTTTAAATTCAAAAAGAATAATTTTTTTCTTACTGGTCGGTGAAAAAAAGAACCTGATTAATTCCAGTGGGACCCAAGTCAACTTCATTGTGAAATAGATAAACAGATCAAAATTTTTTTAAAGAAAAAGATAAATAGGTCAAGGACCACATGTGCACGAATAAATTGCCTATGTGCCAGTAATTTCTATTCCCGGGATATATTAAGGCTGCAATATATTGAATATTGGTAGATTAATGAATTGTTGCCCTGCCTTCCTCACGCTTTGGTCGCACCCATAATGCTTATATCCACTATTCTTGTTCTCAGCCTTTCTCATCAAACGTCACCACATTTTCAACATGGTGGATTTTTTTCCCCTTCCGTAGCCTTTCATAGGATATGCAAAATATATTTATAGGAAAAACATGATAAGATATGTTTACAATTTTACAAGTCAGGAGTTGCATTATTGAGCCTCTGATTCATGTAAGAAAAGGATAATCTAAACATTTCATGCTAAGTCTATTGTGTTTGCCGAAGCAAATTGGCAACTTTTCTTTGCATTCAGCTTATATATATATATATATATATTAGAAGAAATCAATGTGGACATCTCTAGGCTATTGGCATCAACACAATATCATATAAAATATATAATCCATCATAAATTATATTGTTAAAAAACATGAAAAGTTAATACCTAACATTCTTCAATTTTCACGTAATAATGTCCATAGCTCAGCTAATCAAGTTCCGACTTCCTGCACCGTAAATCATAATCGAATGTTGCTAAGAACTCACGCAATGGGGATAGTGGTTATAATACACAAACGCCCACATAAACGCACATATATAACGGCCCACATCAAATCTCAATCCCCACCACAATTAATTAAGGGGAATTTTTTTAATATATTCCCTTCCATTTTTATATATAAAATATTTTTAATTAAATTTCACATATCAATAAAAATTTATTATTTAATTAAAATCATGTTATTAAATTACAATAATCTTTTAACTTTTTTATTAATGTCAATTAATATTATGATGGTAGCGTGTAAATTATCCAATTAATATCTCTTTTATTTTTTTAAAATAAGGATAAACTTATTTAATTATTTTAAAATATTATAATACTTTTTATATTTAAGGATAAAGTAAGTTTTTAAAAAATTATTCCATATATAAAGACGTGGGAGTAATTATATATGGTGTTCGGTTAACAAAATAGAAGGCAAGTTGTCCAGGCTGAAATTGTATTTCGTTTGATATGGACAGAAAAATACATTGAGAAGGTCAATCATTTTATTTTATATTGGTAAGTAAAAAATATCTACCTTAGGAAATTTTAATTTAAAAATTATGACGTAAATTCTTATACTATAATTTTTTTGCAATGAAAATATTTTTGAAATTTTTTTAAAATAATGATAAAACTTAACATATTTATTGTAAATTATGCTGGCTCTTATATACTACATGAAATTTTAAAAATTGAACGCCCGATATTCATTGATCGTGAATAGGAGATCGATGTTTGTGTAAAATATAAAGGCGTAACAGATTTAATTATTTATATTAGTGATGAACAACGTAATTTGTTGTATGATGAATTTCATGGAATGTATAAACTACATTGGTTATCATAAATCTTACATTTTCCTAGGGAAGTATGGCGGATTTCATTTTTCACCGTGCAAAGTGCAAACTAACCATTATACTGGCAGGAGGAAAAAAGTCGTACACTGTTTATATTTCGCATCATATGATATGGGATATATTATTAATATTAAGTACAATCCTTTTTCAGGGATTGAACATTTGGAATGAGTTTTGATAACTTATTATGAACTACTTATACATCTTACGTTTCATATTTATGATACAAATAATTTTTTTAGACACAAATATTGTCAGCAATGATTAATGTTGCTAAGATAGCGAGGCTCAAATGCAGATTCATATAACAATTTAATTTACTACATAAAAAAAGTAAGGCGAATGCCCAATTAATAAACAATTGATATGATAATTAAAAATATTAGTTTTTTATTACAAGCTCCTAGGTTAGAAGAATATGATGGTGATGCGGTGAATGGCATTTAACAAGTGCCTCGGTTCCCGACTGAATCGACGTCAGCTACGACACTCTGAATCGTGCAGTCTTCGCTCAAACTCGCCGTGTTATGCTCTTACACACTCGCCCGATATTTTGCCTATAAATTCATACCTTCGGTTTATCGCGAAATCCCTGTTTCTCGTAGTCACAGCTCCCACCAAATTGAAAAGTTGAAAAAGCAAAAAAGGAGACGTAGAAGCAGAAGCAAAGTGGGGGGAGAAGAAGAGGGAAAGGTGGAGGAACGAGAAGAAGAAGCTCTACTATGCTTCAAGGCACATTTATTTACCATTGTGCCATTGCGTTTATTACCTGCACCTTCCCTTTTCATCCTCCTCTTCAGTCTTCCCTGCCCTACCCTCTATATATATATGATTAAATTAAATATTTTTTACACACACATCCATCCCTCTTGCAGTACAAGCCATACAAATTTAGTTATTGAAGCCTCTTCAATCAACCCCTTCTTCTTCTTCTTCTTCGGTTTTTAGTTCTTTATTCTCTGCTACTCAATTCAAGCCGCTTACGGTAGTTTTAAGCTCAATGCATCCTCCTTTTCTTCTCTCTCATTTTATCAATTCAATCCTTCGATCTCTTGCTCTCTTTTAAGCTTCGTAACTCCGCTCAAGTCCTATTTACCTCGCATTGAAGCCGCTTGTTTTTCTGGCCGCCGTTCATTTTTCATCTCACCGCATTTTGAATGCAGCTGGTGTTTCGATTGAGTATTAATATTTGGCATCTCTTTTCTATAGAAGGAAAAAGAAATTTTAACACGTCAAAATGCGAGTGAAAGAAATGCATCCTTTGTGCTGTATTTCCCTCGAAAGTCCCGGCGTCGGGAACCAATCACCGGATGCGCCCCTTTCGAGAACCAGAAGTTTACCGGCGAGTTTCAAGGCTGCTGGATCTGATGGCAATGCCAGTGGACGGGCTCATGGATCGGTCACCACGGTGGCCGGCATACTTTACAAGTGGACTAATTATGGTAAAGGATGGAGATCCCGATGGTTTCTGTTGAGGAATGGCGTGCTTTCTTACTCCAAGATCCGATGGCCGGAGAACCTCAATCTCCTAACGCCCGGCGAAGACGTCAAGGTGATTGGCGAAATTTCCACTAATCGACTGGCAAGGATAGACAACAGCGGGAGTAACATGAGACGGAAGCACTGTAAAACAGCGTCTGGCGTAGTCCATCTCAAGGTAACGTAAGCATTGAATTATTTGATTGATTGCTTTATTTATTCTCTCTTTCGGAAATATAGGTCACGGTATTGATGGCGATCTGAGAAACACTGATAAACGCGGGGCGATTGGGTTCCGACCATCGGGTCACTCGGTCTTTCTTGGGTTTGCCATCTCAGCGCGGGTTCGCTATTCTGGTGCAAGTTTCCTGTGGCGGCAACATTTTGATTTCCAATAATTTTATTCACTTATTTACTACGAACACTAGACTAATAGCCAGGGTTGATGAAAATCCTCAATCAGAGTCCATTTCTGCCAGAAAAAGTTTGGGTACCCGAGCGTGCATGTATTTACCCGATGGATTTTTGTTTCTACCATCGTTTTCTCACGCTCTCACTGTTTCAATCTCCATCTCTCCCTCTCGAGTTTTGCGATTTTAATTTCAAAATTGAGCTTTTTAGTTAAATTTCACTGTTTTTAACTGGTTGTTAAAGGTAAGTGGGTCACATCAACAGGTGGTGAGGGTTCGGATAGCCTACGTTGTAGGCCTCGGCATTAATTTGCCGTCACATCATTCCTTCAACTGCATTGGTGGGATTTGAGGCTCAAAGTAGCTTCCTTCTTATTTTCCAATCAGAGAGTTTTTCCCGCCGGGACGGCATGGCCCTGCAAATCCAAACCAATCTACTTTTCTTTTGAGACACCCATTCGAAGGTCTCAAAATACCTTTCTCGGTTGGTTTCAGTGTTTTTCTTCCATCAATCCAGCGCCGCGATATTATTCACAATCATATGACGTGCGTTTCGATGGCTGGTCCTCCATGTTGTACTGTGGCTCTGCGCATTTCAATATGCCGAAACCGAAGGCGTTACGGTGGCGATCAGATTGTTACAAATTTATCTGGCGCCCGTTTTTGCCGTAACTGCGTAGAGACCTAGTAACATTGCCATGATTGGAGATTTGCTTTTTGGAAAGCATGAGAGAAGCGGGGATCTGCGACTTCGGTGCGATCCCCATTAGCGTGATTTAGACTTCAGCGGGTATTGTTTGGGACTCTTAACTAGCGGTGTTGAAGTTGAGAAGAACAGTGTGGGGAAAAAAGTAAATAAATATTTGCTTCAGGTTGAGGACATTTTGACTCTTTTATTGACCACAATATGAGTCGAGGGTACTATCGCTCAGCTATACAGATATTCTAATCCAGTCTAATTTAATTCTAAACTACTAATTTATTTTTATCTAATTCTAAGTTTATCTCTAGATTGGGTCCATGTTTTGTGCAGGAACGAAAATAAGGCATTTTTTTTTTAAAGCTTATAAGCAATGCGACTCCTTTATGATTTTTCTTTCTTTTGGTTTTTCTCTCCTTTTTTGTGATAAGTAATGAGGTCCATAAATTTTATATTATATATTTGACTTGGCGCTAGATAGAATTTGACACCTGTACTTTGCTATTTTGCTTCCAATTTGACAAGTTGTTGTGTTATGAACAGTGCATACTTTGGCGCAAAGTGTTGTTATATAGACCTATACAGATGCATATATCGATTTTATGATTTAGTAGAGGGAAGATCAACGTTTGCTGCCATTGTTAGATATATACAAACGCTTGCTGGTAGGGATGACTCATCATCTAAATGTAGTGGGGTTCAGCTCTTAAAATATTGGTTCGTAAGTCCACAGCCTAACGGACCTTTGTGTCTCGTGGTCACTGTTATTTCTTACCGGTTATTAGGGCCTTCTATCATCTGAAAAGTGTTTTTCCCCCTTAACCCGAAAAATTTAAAAACAATAAGAAGATTCCCTGGGAATCGATGCATATTCTGCCCATTTTCTGATTGAAAAGTTCTATGCAGCAAGTCCCTTCTCCCCGCTTTTCTTTGAATTTTTTTCGCTGCGTATTGATATTAATGAACATTTTTGCGTGGATCCTGAGCAGATCTCGTCATTTAGAGAGAGCAAGTCAGATGATCGCCGCTTCTATATATTTACAGCAACGAAGACTCTCCATCTGAGAACTGATTCGAGGAGAGATAGGGTGGCATGGGTACAGGCTTTAGTCTCAACTCGTAGCCTCTATCCACTTGGACCGCTCAATGATAACCTCTCTCTTGTACCCAACGATATATCTATATCAACCGAGAGGCTTAGAAAACGCTTGCTTGAAGAGGGAACCACTCAGAACCTTGTGAGGGAGTGCGAACAAATCATGCTCTCAGAGTTCTCAGAAATTCAAGGCCAGCTTAAAATTCTTTGTGAAGAACGGTCCAATTTGCTCGATACCATAAGGCAGTTGGAGGTAAGTCAATAGCCTTCTCTACCAGCAGAACCTTGGTCTTTGGTTGATTTGAAAACTAATTCCACTTGGTCAACTTAATTTCCCCCTTGAAGAACTCCTCAATTGTTTCATATGAGGACTAGTGTTTGTTTGAATTATGAATTATAAGCAACATCATTATGACCTCAAGTGATTAGTGTTCTAACGTGCATTTTCTTATTGTGGGTGTCACCATGGATGGACCAGCAGTGAGTCAGCTTGACAAGACCTTCTTTGAATATTCTGGCATAGGATACTTCAGTTTCGTTTAACGGTTTAAGGCATCTGTCTTGTGTCATTCCTTTTTCTTGTTGACGAAATTTTTTTCTTAGCTTTCTTCTTTCTTCCAGTTATTTTGCTGGAAATTCAATTAATACTAGCATGACCAACAAAAACGTTGTGTATTTTTCTTTGCTCCAACTTTCACTGTTTCTTCTTTCTTTCAGTTATTTTTCTGGCAATTGAATTATTCTTCACTATCAAATGATATTTCTTTTTTCTCCTGTCCGTAATTCTATTTTCCACATATTGATTTCAATCTTGCTGCACATTCTATTATATTGCCTCTGTCCTAAGTTATAGGATACTTTTAAAGGAGTTTCTCTATCCCAAAATATAAGACACTTTGAGTAGATTAAAATTTTATTAAATGCACCAATTCCAATAATATCCTTTCTCTCTCTCTATAATTAATTTTCACTCCTTCTTTTCTCAATATTTTAAATGATGGGTATTTTTTAGAGTTTATATTTTTGTTTTGGAAATATAAGATTATTAAGTGTATTTAATGAGGTTTATTGATATGTGAGATTTTGTCTAAAATGTCTTATAATTTAGGATGGAGGTAGTACTTTACAAAAGTATTGTGTGCAGCCAAAAACGTTGTGCACTTTTTAAATCTATACAACCAGTATGAATGTTTTCCCGGAGCGGAAGCTTTTTAATGTTAAGGTTTTCGATATGTAAATAATTACTTTAGATTTTTTATGGCTCCAGCTTCATATGGTGGGATAAGCTCGTATCTGATGTTTGTGAGAGGTGGTATTTCGGGAACCAGGTCGAGTAGCATATACTAGACACATGCTGTATATTATGATATGTTGTCTTTTTGTTATCATGCACTTTTTGATGCTTTGATGGTTTTTTTCTGCATTGTCTTCTAGGATTCAAGTTAACGGTGACGCTGGCTAATTTGCCATCTGTTTCTTCTTACCCTCCAACAAAGTTGTCATGATTCATAATACTTCTATAACCTTCTGTCATTATTCTTCATGCTTATTCTTCTTTCTTACTTGACATTTGATTATCATCATTTGTGTCCTGTTTTTCTTTGCTTGGTTACCAAATGTGCATCCGCTGGTTCATTGCTTTGTGACTTGCAAAACTGAATACTCTTATTGATCATAAGCAGGCAGCTAATATTGAAACTGACGCCACTGGAATCCATGATGGTGAATATCAATTAACAAAGCATGAAATTTCCAGTATAGGACGTGGAAAATATAGCGGTACTAGTACCACCTTTGTATTTGCTACTACTGCTTCCCTTTACAGATGCTGTACCTTTCACTTTTCTTATCTGACGTATTAGCATGTGGTTGCATAGGGATTATTTGTCTTGTTTGAAAGCCATCGTAGGGAGCTATACTCCTGTCTTACTTGAATAATATTGCTGTCATGGATTGTTTGTGCCAACTCTCTTAAACTCTGTCCACCTGATGAACTGAGTTCCACTGCCTATGTTTTGGTTTAATTAACAATCCCCACTCACATGCCTTTTTGGACAAACCCAGGGATTCTCCCGGTATGTTATAATAATATGTAATGTAATTCCTTTTTGGACTTGAGGTGCTGATTTGTTCATCTTTTCAGTTATGAAGACAATTCTGAGGTTAATGTCATGTTATTGATCTCTTCTCCTTCGATATTGTATTGTTTATGTTCACTATTTCCATCTATAAATTTGAATATGATAAATATGGAAGTGCCTTGGCGGTTGTTTGTTTAAATTAAATCTTTTTCAATACTAAACACGATCTCATTCTGTCAGTATATACTATAATTTTTCAAATATTTTTTTATTGTCAGAGTGCAGTACAACTGAATCATCCGATGATATTGAGAGACAGGATATGGAGGAAGTGTCAGATGAAGATGAGATCTCATTTTATGATACTACAGAGTACTTTACAGAACCCAGTGATAGTAGGGGGTCAAAGAGAGATCTAGCTGAGGGGAACAAACCCGGGGATTCTCTCTTGAAATGTATTGATGTGGAGAAAACTCAGCCAGAGATAGCAGCATATAATTCTAGGAATCCTCAGATAAAAAGACGAAAGAAGCTTCCAGATCCTGTAGAGAAAGAGAAAGGTGTTAGCCTTTGGTCAATAATCAAGGACAACGTGGGCAAGGATCTCACTCGAGTTTGTCTTCCTGTATACTTTAATGAGCCTATATCATCTCTACAGAAATGTTGTGAGGACTTGGAGTACTCTTATCTTTTGGATCAAGCTTATGAGCATGGAAAATCAGTAAGATACCCATCCTTTTCTAGATTGTGCCATTAATTTGTCTTGGAAGTGTAAAAAGCCAAAACATAGCAACTTAAAGCTTGTCTTTGGTTTATGATTTTACCTGCTAATCTGGTGAATGATATTTTTATTTGTTGGTGTAGTTTCTAATTGTTTCTCTTGTTGAGAATGAAATATATTCATTAAATTCAATTTGCAAATTTTTTTTTTTTGCCATTGAGGTGGTGTCGATAAATTTTATAGACAATGTTAATGGCTGCTCTGTGCTGTTGATTAAATTATCCTTTTGACGTATCAGTTGCACGATTTCAGCTTACTATTAAATGAATTTCACTTTTTTGTGCATTAAAGGAGGCAAGGGAGAGGAAAATTATACTTTTTACCTAGCAATAATTCAATTCTGGTACATAAAAATTTAAATAAACTATGTCTTAATATGATAGAATAGACTGTCACTTTTGCCCCAGGCACTTACTGAAATATTTAGGAGAATTATAACTAGGTCCCACACAAAAAATTAATTACTGCAAGATTTATTGATAATTGAACTAAATTGTCTTGACAATTGATTGTGTTGTCAATACAGTTTAATTCAATTGTCAATGAACCTTGTAGTAATTAATTTTTTCGTGTGGGACTTTAATGTAATTCTCCCAAAATATTTATGCAAGTAATTTCTCTAAAATGATAATAATGTCTAGTTTATGATCTTTGACTATAGAATGGCTTTTTCCAAGCCCAACTGGTATGAGTTCATAGGTTTTTTGGGAGGCTGCTTTGTGCCAATCATTTGGCAATCTGAAGTCTTCCCCTTTTGCTTTGTTTACAAGCTTTTGTGGTTAAATTATGTAAAGATTTGGAGAGTGAAAACTGACATCATTATGATGTTACTGAATACGACACCTCTCCATTGTAATTCTTGCTTCAGGGAAACAGTCTCCTCCGGGCATTGAATGTTGCTGCATTTGCGGTTTCGGGATATGCATCATCTGAAGGTCGTCATTGTAAACCCTTTAATCCTTTGTTAGGGGAAACATATGAAGCTTATTATCCTGAGAAAGGAATTCGCTTCTTTTCTGAGAAGGTTAGTACGATGTAATTAAATGATTAACATATATGGTTGAGCGAGACACAGGTTATTATGCAGCTGTGGTATTGATGTTGTAGGGATCGTAAATGACCTTAGAGTATGAGTCATGCTTCGTATATCCAAAACTCAACCTTGGCCTCACAATGCAAGACGAAGAAGTTTTTTATAATTGCAAAAGAGGTCCAAGCAGTTAAAAATATAGAGGATTTCTTGAGAATTTAGGAAATGAAAGGACTGAGCTGCTGTCCCAAATTAGTAATGCTGTTATGCCAACTACGTGTGATTCATCTACATGAAAATTCAAGATCACTTTCGCATTATGTATATACGTGTCTTCCGACTATGGATATGCTCGTGCAACATCAGATTTTGATGTTTGTTTGTTCACGTTGATATATGTTGTGATAGGTTAGTCACCATCCAACTCTCATTGCCTGCCACTGTGAAGGTAGTGGATGGAAGTTTTGGGGTGACAGTAACATCCGTTCAAAGTTTTGGGGAAGGTCAATTCAGCTTGATCCAGTAGGAGTTTTGACCCTAGAGTTTGAAGATGGTGAAATATTTCAGTGGAGCAAGGTGTGCATTGCTGAACAACCGTGTTTCCACACCATGCAAGTGCATATTGTAATATATTATTTTTCTTTTGTTTGCTCTTATTAGGTCACTACAACAATTTATAATCTTATCCTTGGCAAAATATACTGTGACCATCATGGGAGCATGGACATACGCGGTAATCGCCAATACTCATGTATACTCAAATTCAAAGAACGGTCAATTCTTGACCGAAATCCCCATCAGGTAGGGGTTCTACTATTGATTAGCAATAGTTTATTCTTTATCTTTGCATGCTTGAACCAGAGTGCTCTATGCATTTAACTAATTTGGGACTGATCAGGTACTTGGATTCATTGAAGATGCTTCGGGGAAAAAAGCGGCTTCATTATTTGGCAAATGGGATGACAGCATGTCTTACAGTATTGGTGATGTGAATGTGATGCCGAAAGATTCCAGTTCATCAGATGCATCTTTGTTGTGGAAAAGGACTAAGCCTCCCACCAACCTGACGCGGTACAATATGACATCTTTTGCCATCACATTGAATGAGCTTACGCCAGGACTGAAGGTAGTGAGGATGCATTGAATCATTATTTTATGTGCATTTCCTTTTTCTTATTATGCATCTCTAATTGTTTTTTATAGCTTTGTCTGATCCCGGGTATTTGATCACGGGTTAAAGGAGAAACTCCCACCCACGGATTCTAGGCTCAGACCGGATCAGCGGTATCTAGAAAATGGGGAATACGAAAAGGCTAATTCAGAGAAACTAAGGTTGGAAAGGAGGCAAAGAATGGTATGTCTGGCAGCTCTTGTCCATGTCGTGTGCAAGTATGACTGCATTGTTTCGACCAAGAGCCATTTTGGCCTTTCGTACCTCTTCCCTTTCGATATCCCAAAAAAAAGTGAAAGATGGTTTGGTGCCTGTTGCTTGTGTGCGGCTATATTTTCTCTGCATTCCTTGTAGCCTTTTTTTTTTTTTTTTTTTCGGTGACCAACAGCCTTCCTTGTAGCTTTATATTATGCTTTTCAATGTTCCAATTTTTCTTTTTCTTTTTTTAGTCAAGTTCGTTTTATTTGAATTTTAAATTGAATGCACATAAAGTCGACAGTGTGGCCGACAATATAAATGGGTTATTATGCTGCTGCTACTGTTACGATTATTACAGTTCTTTTCTTTTCTTTTCTTTTTTTTTGGCTGAGATGTGTATGTTATGGTATTTAACACCTGCTGGACGTTTACGAGCTTTTTTTTCCCCCGCCCGTTTCATGGCTAATAGCTAATCGCATTGTTTCTTTTGTGCAGTCTAGGAAAATGCAAGAGAATGGCTGGAAGCCAAGATGGTTCCGAAGAGAAGGAGAAAATGGAACATTTCGCTATGTAGGCGGGTATTGGGAAGCCAGAGAGCGAGGAATATGGGATGGGTGCCCAAACATATTTGATGAAGTTAATGAAGACTTCGTAAATCCTTTAAATGCATCTTGATTTTAATTCAGGTAATGTTTACTACATTTTTAACCATGTTTAGCTCTGCTCTCTAGCAACTCGCGCACGCGCACTTAGTGTCTGAGATCAGAGTTGGCTACCTGGGATAATGACATATCAATACTACTGCAGAGTTGAGATAGCGATAAGATATGGAAATTAGGCAGCAGAGCTTTATCTTGAAAGTTGTAGCATGTATGGTTATTTTGGGAGTTGTGAAAACGTGAACGTAGGTCCACTTTCAGTTCTGATTACCTGATTGGAGTGAATGGCTTCGTAGATTTTCCATTCCAACGACATAAAGTGATGGAGAAAAGAAAACGTTCGGGCATCATTTCCTAGATTTGCCTTGTGAATTCGAAGAAAACTTCAATCGACCAATCGCCTAGGGAAGGTAGTAGTGGTAGACGTGTCATTTTCATTTCTTGTCCTGATATAGACTAGGCTTTTCAGAGTCTGTGATGGAGTCGAAATCCCTATTGATTTGGCCCAAAAAGAAGCAAGGGGGAAAAAATCCCAAATTGAGGCTGCAGGCTGGTATTTGATTTTGATGAGCATGTGAGTAAATTATTCAGCTAGATCAGGGTGCAATCTGTGTAAGATTGTCACAATAGGGTTTTACTTTTCTATATATATGTAATTACTGGTATCAGCTTCAAAAGGGATGTAGATTTGTTACATTATTGTTAATATTTTTATGAAATAAATGGAAAACGCTAATTATCCTTGGAACTATGACATTACGAGCTTCTTTGAATTTTGAACAAGGGAGCTTCTGCCTAGATTTTAGCACCTGGAGATGAGAGGTGCCAAATGAAAAAGGAGTCAACCTGTTTTCGCTTCTTCGTTTCAACGTTGAAAGCTTTGATGCCAAATTAGGCGATATTTGTTAATTTCTAGTTGACATTTTCACTTCTCTGCTGCTATATATTTCAAACAGGCACTGGGATTTCAAATGTCTAAGGTCCTGTTTGGTTCATTGGAAATGGAGAGCATGAAAATGAAATTGAAGATGGAAATTAAATTTTAGGTTATTTGGTATGCCATATCTTATTTCCATGTGGAATTCAATTCAATCAAAAATAACAAATGAATTCCATCTGCTGACCCATGGAATTGTGTAAAATTCCATGGAAGCTAAATTTCTATCATTTTTGCCTTTCTTATTTTTGGACTCCTTGTCTCCCCTGGTCATCGGACTGACAAAACAGCACTTCCTCCTTATCTCTCATCATCACCAAGCACTGAATTGAAGAATAGGGAAGATGGCAGCAATGATTATTTGTTGTGTGTCTACTGCGCGTGGCAAAGATGGTGGCAGCAGACTCTTCCTCATCATCACTGGACTCTTCCTCTTCGTTTCACTTTTCTTCGTCTTTGACTTCAACTCCGTCTAGATCCCCAATAGCAACGGCGACCAAATCTCACCTCTTCACTTCATTCTTCATCATCTTTGACTTCTCCCTCTCTTTTTCGCTTCATTCTCATTCTTCTTCGTTTTTGACTTCATCCAAATCTTCGACAAAAGCGGCAACCAAATCGCCAACTACCTCTTCGATTCATCATCTGTGTTGTTGATGGATGGTGGTGCCGCTGCAATTGAGTGTCTCTGATGGGGGTAGATGGTAGTTTACCAGTTTTGTTAATTTAGGGTTTTTTTTTTTTTTCCTTGAGCAAATTTTGGTCTTTAAGCATTATGCATATATATTTTAAATAACAAATATATTAGAATTTTATAAACATACCAAACATATTTTTAAACTCCATATCCATTTTCACCTCCATATCTATTTTCACTTTCATATTCATTTTTATTTTTATCAAAATCATTTCTATTATATTAAACGAGGCATAAGGTTTTTAATGGAAACTCTTGTTTGGAGTTCTCAATTTCAAAAAATGAAAGGCAAAAATAGAGTTGGACTTGCAACAGTCCTTTGGTGGAGTGAGAGGAACTTATATAAATTCAAAATTAAAATTTTGTAAATAAAAATTTGGTTAAGATAGTTAGTGTTAACTAGACTTGATTATATTTATTAAAAAAAATTAGACTTGATAATACTCAAAATTTAGTCTTGTCATATATCAAATAATTATTTATATAAAAAGAATTTGAATTTAGATCTCCAATCACGCTTATTGAAGACATGGCCATATTGAAGAATCATGTTTATATCTTTCAACTATGTTTTCTCTTCTCTGTATTTCACTGACAACTATTTTAGTTTATATCTTAATATACTCAGTTGCCAAAAAATCTTGTGATATTTAATTGTAGTATTATGAGACTTTGATGTAATTTTTCCAAAAATATTAAGCAGCACTAGTGAGGTACAAATCCTAATACCTAAAGGTTTATTCAAAGTTCGAAACATATATGAACATCATGCAATAGCAAAAAAGAACTGCGCATTGCAGCAACAGTTGGTAAAAAAAAAAAAAAGTACGAGTATTTTTTTTTTTGGGGCCAAAAATAGTACGAGTATGGACTACAAACAAGTCATAAACTTGCAAGCCAAATTTTGCAGCCACTCTTATGACTATAATTTAGTGCAAGGCTTTCTAGTACACATTCCATCTCTTATAACCTGTCTGTTAGGACCACAGATCAGGGTCATTGCCACCCACCTCTCATGACCTACATTAGTAGTCATATTTTAGTGAATGCTTTATAATCATGTATTTCTTTGTTTTTATTTTTGCTAAAGCACAAATATGCCACGGACATTCTCAAAAAGACACAATTAACATCCTAACATTTTAAAAGGTATACGTTATCCTGACGTTTTTCAAAATCAAATAATTTTATCTTGAACTAACATAAATACTAAACTCTGTAAATCTTATCTTCCAGCCCCAAATATTCATGCCACATGTGTTGGATAACTTTTGAATTCTGCCATGTATTCCCCTTCTACTTCTTCAAATCAATTTGATCGAAAAAGCTTCTTCAGTTCTCCTGCTCCATGATTTCAAAAGTTACTGACAGCACAACCATCTATTTAAACTGCTTCTTCACACCTGCAAGCAAAAGCTTCTTCAGCCCTACTCCTCCACGATTTCATTGGAAAATAAATCCATTTGTCCAATACAAGAAACCGCATTAACGTCTCAAGATATATTGAACAAATCCAAAACAACAAAACCCCATGAGAAAGAAACGAATGTAACACCCCAATTGTTCAAAATGTGACTATGATGAGCTAAGGGTTATCTTTCTCATTTCTGGTGGTTACAGGGTAATTTTGGTGAAAACAGGAGCCTCTACTCATGTTTGGTAGCGGATGAAACTTCTTATGGTGTCTACCACATGCAGACGTTAGCCTCAAGTTGACTGGTTAAAATGCAAGGGTTTGATCGCGAGCAATTGAAATTTCTAAAAGTGTTCAACCATGAGGTGGTCAAACACGGAAACTTCAATTTTAAATTCCAAAAATCAAATCATTTTGGGAGGGTTTGGCATTTTGGAACAGAGAGCAACGTTGGGGGAGAAGGGATGGAGAATTTGGGCGATAATCCAAGGTTCTTTGGCCTCCCAAGTCTTGATTTGAGATATGTAGCTAAGATCTTCTCCTCTTCTCCTTTAACCGTTGGAAGCTTGATAGCAAGCGAGACTTTGTTGGATGAAAGTTTTGGGGTTAGATTTTTTGTAGATTGAAGAGGTTTTCCAACTCCTAGAGGTAATTTTTTGTTTTCCCCAACTCCATTTAAGATTTTAAATGATAGATTTCTTGTATATTCATAATTTAACTTTAATTATTAATTTATAGATAAACATAATACTTAAAAATTTATCAGTAACTTCCTTCATACAAAAGTTGTCAATAATTTATTCTTTGCTAGCTCGTGGCAATGCCCATAACTTATGGAGGGATATGGTAACGTTTGATCCCTCCTCATATACTTGTTTCTATTTAATGCCTATATATCCCAATTTTCCTGCTTTATAAGGATATTTATATTTAGCCACTCTCCTTTTATTCTAAGTGCTTAGTGTTTTAGCAAATAACAAAATATTCAATTAATACACACGCACAAACAAAATCAATAAAAGGCAACAAATTGCAATTTAAAAAATACTAATACTTTGAATTTCTTCTAACACCATGAGGCAACCAAAAACATCACAATCCTCTTATTTTACCAAAAGTTAGAATATGGGAGATACTCGAGCTACACATTTAGCATCAAGATCTTTTAGATATTTGTTTTTGATGAAATATCTGAAAGACTACAGTGTCCTCTAGCCTATTTGTAGGACAAAATCCTTCTTGCTCTTGTCAATTTCAAATCTTGACTGCAAATAAAATAAACAATGTTGCACCCGAAAATACAATGCAGATGGTGCGTGAGAGCAGAGATTTCGGCCTTTAGAGAAAGAACTAGCTGAATGCCGCCACTAGAATTTTGAGAAAAAACTTGAGAAATCATTTAAGCGAGATAAGGATGGTCTGCAAAATCAAAAACAAGTTTAAGAGTAGATTAAGTGTGGGGAAAGTATTAAGCACCTCATAACACCCGTTTATGAGAACAATTACTTGAAATTAATTGTACTAAATTAATATGATTTTAAGGTTATTTTAATTATTCCTTTCTTATTCATATGTTTGATATAAAAAAATAATAATAATTAAGTGAGAAATATTTATTTATTTATAAGGGAGGACTTAACTCAAAATCAGACTGTGAGACTTACGTACCTTGCGATGAGGATCAAAGTTTACATAATTCGCGATTATAAGTTTGTTGGTGAAAATATTTTTTTAAAAAAAATTAATTAAAAATAATTTACCATTTTAAAAATAAAATAATTCCTAAAATTTTGATATGTATATTTTAAATTACAAAAAGTAATTTAATTTTAATTATTTTCTTAATTTTTGAAATTTTAAAATAAAGAAAAAGAAAAGAGTTTAAAATAATTTTTTTATATTTTATGATTGAAAATTTAACTGTTATACCTGTAGAGTCTTATTGGTTCTTATTCTAAATATCTGTGGAGATCCTAAAATCTCACACGATAAAAAAGTTTAACAATTTAATTTGTTTTACTCAAATTTTTAAATAATAATAATATTTTTAAGCATGTATATATTTATTTTTTTAAGAAATTCTTAATCATTACACTGCAAAGACTTATTGATTTATATAATAATATGACTATTCTAAACATTTGTGGAGATTTCAAAATCTTACACGGTTAAAAACTCTAACAACTTAATTTATTTTCTTATATTTTTAAGTAGTAATATATATATATATATATATATTAAGCATGTTCATACATAATTACAGATAAACTTTTTAAAAGAATCTTAATCATTATAACTGTAAAGTTTTATTGACTTCTATGATAATATGATTATCTTAAATATCTGCAAACATTTAAAATCCTCACACAATAAAGGATTAAATAATATATATTTTAAATATATTTTAATGCGTAATTATACAATTTATTTTTTTAAACATAAAACATCTTAATTACCATACCTGTGAAGTCTTATTATCTTACACAATAAGATAATTATTCTAAGAGTTTATGGAGATTCAAAAATCTCACATGACCAAAAGATTTAATGGTTATTATGCAAATTCATTAATTTAATCAATCAATTTTATTAAAAAAAACATTTATTATTTTATTTACAAAATTTATTTATTTATCATATAAATTGAAAAACATGATATCTGTGAGAATTTATTATCCTACACGATAAAATACTTAATTT